AACCGAGACGTATATATATATATATATATATATATATATATATATGCTATCATACAGCTTTGGGATGACATCAGGGTAAATGATTCATTTTGGTGAGTTTTGGGTCCCTTTAACTCTCCAACACACAAATGTTACTCAACTGCAAAAATGTTACTCAAGCCATGAGGATGTTCCCATTCCAAACAATATTCTACTAGGACATTTTCTGACCTTATCGCTTATCGCTTTGAAAAAAAAAGAGTCTCTAGAAGGTCAATGTTTGGAGCAAAGTCAGAGTTTTAGTTTTAGTGGCAGTTGATGATTAGTGTACTTCCTTTTGTGTAAACTAATCAGTGGCATGGCTTCTGACACAAACTACAACTTTTTAATAGTTAACTCGTGTAACATGAACATACAATGGCAATCTGATGGTAGAGAAATTGGTTTTACTAGTCATCAAAATGTGGGTTACTCATATGTGTCACTGCTAAGTCCATCTGTCTTGTTTAGCATTGAATAAGTGCTGAATTCAATGATATTTACACTTATGTTATGATAAGAACAATTATAAGAACACAAATGTTATAAATGGCATTTTTTTTGTTGGTCATTTTCAAAGTAATTTGTAATTTTTAATGGTCAACCTGTGAGTGTTTGCCATTGGTTCCATAAAACTATTTACAAAATGTACTTCAGTTTGATTCAGGTGTGGTTGGCACACACACACACACACACACACACACACACATATATATATATATATATATATATATATATGACATCAGGGTAAATGATTCATTCTGGTGAGTTTTGGGTCCCTTTAACTCTCCAACACACAAATGTTACTCAACTACAAAAATGCTACTCAAGCCATGAGGATGTTCCCAAACAATATTCTACTAGGACATTTTCTGACCTTATCGCTTATCGCTTTGAAAAAAAAAAGAGTCTCTAGAAGGTCAATGTTTGGAGCAAAGTCAGAGTTTTAGTTTTAGTGGCAGTTGATGATTAGTGTACTTCCTTTTGTGTAAACTAATCAGTGGAATGGCTTCTGACACAAACTACAACTTTTTAATAGTTAACTCGTGTAACATGAACATACAATGGCAAGTGGGAGTCTTAAACATGATAATGAAATTCCCACAGGGGAAATTCAAGCAGGTAAGTTGTTCAGCCCTGACCCTGAGACAGACCTCACATAAGAGATTAAACATCTCGGTTACGTATGGTAACCCTCATTCCCTGAAGGAGGGAACGGAGACGTCACGTCGGATGACCGACGAAATTGGGATCTCGCTTAGAGAGACCAATCTACTTCGAGTGTAAACTAAACGAGCCAATGCACATTAGCATGCGATTATTG